CCCTTTACAGAAAAAAAAACCCAGGGGTGTTCAAACTTGACAGCTTTAAGACTTGTGGACTTCAACTCCCAGAATTCCTCCACTCGCTCTTCATCTCGATGATGTGCAGATGGGCGAGGGGGAGGGAGCTGGAACCGGTTCTAAACGGCAGGGTAGATTTGGGGAACCTCTTCTACAGAAGAGGTTAGAACTGGCAGGAACCCACCCCTGCCTACCAAGTGCTTCATGAAGGCTCGCTCAGTGATGCAGCGCAGAACGGTCTCCTCGTCATGCAAAACTGAGACCATCTCTATGATCTCCTGGTCTTTGGCCCGCACCTCAACAGCCAAGGCGCCCTGGAGGGGGACAGGGCAGTAAAGAAATGTACCTTTGGCGGAGGCACAGTCATGCCAGGCATCTGAGTTGGGGTGGGGGTGGTGGAGGGAGGGAGAAGGGGCAGAAAGGCCCAGAATACTAGACATCCAAGGTCTAGAGGTTAGGGTTGGAGGTTCCCCAGAGGCCTGAGTGGAGAGATGTGGGGCTCCACTGACAAAAGGAAACCCGGGAGGAGCAAAAGGCCAGGCGGAAAGGAGGTCCTACCACTCACCTGCCCAACCGCATACAAGCAGTCCACGGGGCTCAGAATCTAGAGGGAAGCGAGAGTCAGCAACAGGCTACTCTTTAAAAGGGAGTTCTAAGCAGCCCTCTACTGGGACAGCCTGGGGCTATGCCAATCCCCTGACCCTCACCTGGCCAATGCGGTTCGCCCAGCCCATGCGCTTGAGCCCAGCTGCTGCCAGCACCAGGGCGCTGAAATCCTCCTTCTCGTCCAGCTTCTTCAGGCGAGTGTTCAGGTTGCCCCTCTGTGGGAAGGCTAAGCAAAACCAAGAGGCTTCGGAGGTCCCGGCTCTGATCATTCTAAGCCTCTGAGGCACCCCCAGCCCCCCTGGGGAGCCAGCCTCAGGCCAGAAAAAGGAAGGAAGGCATAAAGGTGAACTTGGGCCCTCCTGAATCACGAAAGGATACAATATCCTTGAAGTGCAGCCGAGGGAATTTTCTTTTCAGCTGAGCTGCGCGGCGAAGTGAGCTGGTCCCAATTACACTGCAGGAAAACCCAAAGGGGGATGAGCGACTCAGAACCCTCCCTGACTCCATGAAGGTCTCCCAAGGTCTCCCCTCCTCCCCTTGCAAGCGGCAACTGCTTAAGAAGAGTCTGAACCACCGTCTCCCGCTTGAGCAGGCAGTTGGATTAGAAGAGGACCAAGGTCCTGTACTATATTCTGTTTCCCAAGAAGCAGGAGAGCAATCCAGGGTGGGACCAAGGCCAAGCCCCTGCCCCTGCTCCAGCCAACCCTCCTCACCTCTTCTCAGGGAGGCTGCTGAGGGTTTTGCCAGCATGTTTGGGGTGAAAGACAACAGCATCGTGTGGGTTTTCTCTCCTGCAAAGGATGAAGAATGTGTCAGAAACCTCTCAAGTAGCCATTGGCAAAGGGGTAGAAGATGCCACAGGCCAAGCAGAGAAAGAAGCTCAAGGCCCCCTTTGCTCCTGCAACGCTCCTCGGGCACCTCTGCTTTGGCTGGGTTCACAAGCAAAAGGAAGGCGGGCGGATGGGCAAGGCCAACGCTTGGCTCTGCCAGGCAGGAAAAAGAGAAGAGCTCAAACTCACTGGCAGATGGCACCAATTGTGAAGCCTGGTGGCAGGGAAGTGGGCAGGTCTTTCAGGGAGTGAACCACCAAGTCCACCCTAAAAGAAAGAAGAAAACATGCCAGTCCAGCACTGGGCAATCCGCACCATGCCACAATGAGTCTGGCATTGGACTGCTGGCTTCTCGCCTGGCCATCAAGTAGGGTGCAGCCCTTTTCCAGGGGACTCATATGAAACTCTGGGCCATTCCTCTTCCCGTGGTCCTGGAGAGTCGGGCTCTGGGCCCATCTCAACAGGCCCTCCAATGTTCCACAAACCTTCAGAAGAGAACTTACTCATCTCTTTCCAATGCATTTTCCAGCTCTTTGGTAAAAAGGCTTTTCTCTCCAATCTGTTGGGGAAGAGAAACAGGATGGGAACCCTTCCGGTCTTGCAGGGTCTCTCTGCCCCAAACCCCCAGGGCTCTATTGTCACGAAGCCCTGCCGGACAGCCCTGGCTGTGTCTGGAGTCAGAGGGGGCAGGAAATCACATAAGCAGAGGAACAAACCTTGGATAAGGCTGTGTCCAGAATCCTGTCTCCGGTGGTTGACATGGCAACTATTAGAGAAAAAGAAAAATTGGAGGGTAAACATGCCCCCCTCCTCCTCCCCCCATCTTGCTCCTAATAAGACCTGCTTGGACTGCCTCCACCTGACCCTAAGAGCAGACCCTCTCTGTCTTCTAGATCCCTTTCCCTCATGCTCACCTATCTTGAAACGGAGATGAGGGTGGTGCACCTTGAGCATCTCCACCACACTGTCAGTCTGGATACGAGCCAGCTGCAATGTTGAGAAAGGAAGGCATTCAGAAAGGGACCCCAGCAGATCAGAAACACAACAGTTGCCTGCCTGCCTGCCTGCCTGCCTGCCGTGACGGAGGAGACGCAATCAGCAGAGCGCAAGTTTTCTGCTGCTCATAGAAAGAGCCCAGGCAAGAGGACAATCCACCCTGAAAAGAGGAGATTGAAGGGGGCAGACTCTGGCTGTGCT